CACCAGCTGTATATAGATTTTAAAAAGGCTTACGATTCTATTGACCGCCAGAAACTGTATAATATTCTAATCGAGCAGGGGATTCCAAAAAAATTAGTAAATCTAGTCAGGATGTGCTTGACGGAGACACTCAATAAAGTTGGAATCGGTAATAATCTGTCCGAAAAATTTGAGGTTCGGTCGGGTTTAAAACAGAGGGATTCCCTTTCGCCTGTCCTGTTCAATTTGGCATTAGAACATGCTATTAGGGAGGTAATGCGTACCGAGAAAGGGTTGGATCTGGGTGGGACAACATCCGTGCTGGGCTATGCTGATGATCTGATACTGTTAAGCGAAGACGTTGAAACTATAAAACTAAATACGACAACGTTAATGAAAGCCGGTAAAGAACTAGGACTCGAAATAAACGTAGATAAAACAAAATATATGGTTAGCTGCAAAAATGGCGATATCGATATAGATGGTAATATGTTTGAACAGGTAGATAAATTTAGGTATCTAGGTTCTACGATAACTAGAAAAAACGAAATTGAAGAAGAGATTAAGGTTAGACTGAAGGCGGGAAATGCTTGTTATTTTTCTGCGACAAAACTACTTAGTTCGCGCCTCTTGTCCCGGAACTTAAAAATTAGAATCTATAAAACAATTATCTTGCCTACAGTTCTTTATGGATGCGAAACTTGGCCACTTACATTAAGGGATGAGCAGCGTCTTAAGGTTTTTGAAAATAAAGTATTGCGTAGAATATTCGGACCGAAGAAGGATGAGTTAACCGCAGAGTTCAGACGGTTACACAACGCCGAATTGAGTGAGCTGTATCCGGGTAATATAATTGAGGTAATATAATCCCGGCGAATCAAATGGGCTTGTAAAGTTGTTGGACTTAATAACAAGAGAATTCCTAAAAGGTTAATATTTGCTGTGCCGAATGGTAATGTGGAGATAGTTTGTTCACTTTTTTTTTGGGGGGGGGGGGGAACATTAGCTTTTTTTAAATAAATAGTTAAAGAACCACAACCATATGCAATTTATAGGGAGGTGGAGGGAGGGATGCACAGTAGGGGGGTCTGGCCCACAGACTATTATTTACTTCTCAGTTCTTTGTTACTGTTATTATTTTATCTACTTTATTTTACTTTCATATTTACTCTATCTACTTCATTTAACTTGAAGTTTTTTTTCTTCTCCTACTCTTCTCTTCTATCATATTTTATACTTTCATTTAGTTTTAAGTTCTTTAACTTGTCTTTTGCTTCAATTTATTATGTCGAAATTCATATCACAGTTTAAATTAATTATTGCATGCTTAAAAAATTTAGATAAATTATCATTAGGTCCATTAATTTTATTGACAATCGGTCTAATGTCTTTATTTTGTTTATGTAATTTTATGAGTCCGTGTATTATAGGTTCAATCATTATTAATAATCATTACTAGCCAATTTGTTTTTAGTATATTTATCTATATATATCCATATTTTTGTAATTTATTTACATAAGTATTGATTTTTTCTGCTAATTCTACACAAGGATTGGTTCTCATCTTTTTGTGTACCATTTTATCTAATAATGTTCCCATTTTCAATTTATAATCATTTCTATTCATAATCACTAATTTCTTGGCCTTGTTCGGTTTTATCACTATTATTTCTTTAGAAAATCCTTGAAACACTTCAATTCATTATTTATTTGGTTATTCGATATTGAAATTTTTGAATTATTTTTAAATTTTGATCATTAATAATTATGTGATATGTGATATATATATATATATATATATATATATATTCATTAATAATTGTGGAGTGGCAGGGTGAAGATGGCCAAACATTGAGCAAAACAATATCAATTGATGAAGTATTTCTTAGTTTGCCTGAAACAGTACAAACATCCGGAGAGCCTAGTGGGGAAATAAAACTGAAAGAAGACCCTTCCTCAGAGATAAATGACAAAGTATGTCCCATTTGTGGGCTGAGTTTCAAGGGTGATAGAGGTTTCAGAACCCATATAGCTAAGAAGCATCCCAGGGAGGGAAATGACGCTACAATCAGGGGCTTGATTGGTAATAAAGAAAGAGGGAAAAATGGAGAGGATGAGGAAGAGGGAGTTAAGAAAGAAAGAAATACCAAAATGGTCGGCTACCTTCCAGAAAGTTGTTCGGCAAAATAATGTGGAATTCAACGAGGCAGTGAGCAATTTTCTAAAAACCATTAATGAAGAATTGCCTGGCCCACAACACCCTGCCATTAAGTTTTATAAGCTGAGAAGGAAAAACAAAACTGATATGGTTGGCTAGGGTGCGGGAAAAGTGTCGAATCCACAGAGGGCCAACAAGGCGGAAAGGAGTTGTCGGCAAGAGCAATATCAATGTGAGGTAGCCCAGTATAATTATTATAAAAGAAAGAAAGCGATGCAGAACATTATGAATGTCGACACTCCTAAGCAATGCCCTCTGAAGGTAACCGAGATTGAAGGCCACTTCAGAAGCCTCTTTGAGAAAGAAAATCTCTGCAAACGTGCAGATTACGAGAATTGCGTCCCGATGCCAAATCTAACATCCATCGATGTCCAAGCAGTAAAAAAAGCCATAAAATCCACGTCATTGGACCCATTGCCGGGCTGGACGGAGTTTTGGTCAGCACGATTAAATTCTTTGATGTATCATATATCATAAAGACCATTGCAGAGGTCATGCTGAGGATGGCGTATGTACCAGAGCCTCTACGTCAAGGGCGCACAATCCTGTTCTACAAGGGTAAAGGAAATGCCAACAACATATCATCATTACCATTTATTCGATTGTGTGCCGAATCATTGAGAAGGTTCTGGACCATGAGCTGAGAAAGCAAGAATCATCAACGCGATCAGAAAAGATGCTAAGTTCACCGTGAAAGGCCTCTGGTTTGAGTCTCGCGGAACGATCCTGGAAAGAACAAGGAGCTTCCTTGAGGAACTAGGTTTTGATGTTGGGGAGAATATTGGCCGAGAATATTATTTTAGACTCCCTGGAGACCATCCACTATCATCTATATAGTGATTGAGGATATCTTGTATTAATTATTTATTCAATTTTAAATTTGTATATAATCGTCTTATCTTTTTGCCAACATTGGAGGAATTACTGCGGTACATATGTGTGCGATGTTGTATCGAGTTCCTGACAACAGTATTGTTATGAAAAGGGAGAAAAAAAAATAAGAAAGGAAAGATATGTCACACACACACACATATATATATATTGTAATATACACCCTTTATTGGAAGTGGGCAAAAATGATTTAATAAATTAATGTTGAACAATTAAAAGGCAAGCTAATCTAGTTCTACTAGTGCAGGGAAAAGAAAATGGCTTCTCTGTAGTTTCCCAAGAAGGAAAATCCCAAAGAGGAGAGGGACAAAGGTTTTTGTTTTGGCAAACAGTTGTGTGACTGCAATGAAGAGAGGATAGGAAAACCCCAGTAATATTATTACCATCTTTGAATAGAAGATAGTGTCACCATTCTGGAAGGTGTGTTTGGCAGAACATAAGAAAATAGTAGAAGACAAATGAATTCAGTGCAACAAAGGAAGAAACAGTGTATATAGAAAAAAGGTTAGCTTGCCAATCCATATTTGACTTTATTTTAAAATCAATCAGTGTTTAATTTTAGTATAAATAGTGTAAATAATAATAGTTTGTCTGAGTTGATCTGATTGTCAGTAACCCACACCTGAGATAAATAAATATATCAATACTCTTATAATTTTGTTTATTATTTAACAACCTCTTATTTATTTAGGAAGTATCCCAATGGTAAGAAGTGAGCTTCCGAGGTTATATTATTATTATTTGTAAAATATAAGAGGGATGTTACAATATATAAAAAAATAGAAAAATGTAATATAATAGTAATGTCCATATGGATTGATACCCTATCTGCAGTCCTCTATAAGTTGTAATTCTTTAAAATTAATAAATCATTCATTTCATGTTGATTTATGTTTTGTAAATTCCCTACTTGTTTTGCATTCTGACCGCTTAATGAGGATATCGAATCACATTAAGTGTTTAGTCTCTTTATACTTTTATTCATTTTAATCTTTTCTATTTCGGGGTGTATTTTCCTATCGATTTTTTTCATAATGTTATCTGATTGTTTGCTAAAATTATATTGCAAAATGTCATTAATTCTCTCCCTTAAAATAATCTCAAAACTTTTTTGTTGGAGACCAATGCCGCATGTGTAGGAGAAGGGGGGGGGGTTATTAACAATGACAATCACCAATGAATATTGTATATCTACCTGGCAACTGTTATTTATTTTTTTTTTTGTAACCTTCTTAATTTACCTTGTTCATTTATTAATTAATGCGAGTATATGTAATGTTATAATTGAGTTCATTTAGAAGTAAATTTTCGTTTTGTTTACATTGTGTTATTTTTCTTTATCACCAAATTTCCAGAACTCTAACATTTTTCCATCCATATTATTGTATTTATTTTTAACCTTGTTTACAATTGAATCAAATGTTTTATTTAATTTACTTTTTACCCAGTATTTCTATTGAGCAGCTCATAATAAATTATCTCAAAGATTAAAATTATTATTTTTGAAGTGCTGAAACCTGTATCTGCATGTTGTTTCTGACAGAGCTTACTTACTAAAAGTTTCAACAAGAATTTTAAGTGCTTCGGCAGCAGATTTCTTTTAAATAAAATAGTACAATAAAATTTCCTGCAAATAATCTCAACTTGGTACAAAACTCAACATTTTTAGAACTACACAAAAGTTACACTGTGGTGAACTAACATATACTGAAGTCCAAGCTTATCAACAGTAGTTCTTTGGAAAACTGAGTTACCTTCTGAAATGAAATACACATAGTACTGGCGCTGCCATCTGTTAGGGAACAACAAGAACTTATTCAAGGCCCTAATAATTATGAATTAAGTGATTGGACATATCTTAAATGTTAGTTATAAGATTTAGTAAATTTGACAAATAGAAAAAATCATTTACCTTTCTTGAAGAAGGAGGATAAGAAACAAAATCAGCCAAAATCCTTTTCTTTCTTGGCCTGGTTGAACCCCTCTCTGGTTTAGGTGGATTAATACTTAGCGATATTCTGTCGGCATGCTTGATTTGGCGATTCAAATCTTTAATGATGATGTTCTTCTCACATTCTGATATTATACTTCTCTAAAAGTATATTGATTAGCATTAATTATATTAATTTACAACAAGAACTTATTCATTATCATATACCATTATATGATAAATTACTTTTATTTTGTAAGAATATTGTTTACACTTATGGTTAGATAATTTGTAATTAATATAATATAAATACTTAAAAAAACAAAAATCTGTATCAAAACAGAGCTATGCTTCATTATTAATTGTCAATTCAATTATCAATTTTAGAAAATGTTTAACACAGTGAATGCCCACAGCATTTTTCAGAATTCTGGTCTAAAAACCAAATTTAATTCAATCATATTAGAGGGTGTCCCAGGTCATCCAAATCAGGATTTCATAATGACAGAAGTTAACTTAAAATTTTTTATTATTTCTACTAGTTTATTTTATCATATTTTTTATAAAACCCCGAAGGTAGGGAAGGTTTAAATTTTCCTGTGTTACGGTGAGCGGTGGGGGCAGATCTTAAAGATAAAAGATAAGACTTAAGCCTTGAGAGTGACTGGCTGTATCTGCCCATTACATCGGCAGCCACTGGCCAAGCACCATCTCCAGCACAAGAAGTCACGTATGGAGGGCCCTCCAGGTAAAAAAGATGCAGGCTGGCATATAGACCATAAGCTATTTTTTTTTGCACAATCTTTAACCTACCAATTCCTTAAGATACAGTCCACCGTTTAAAAACTAGAATGTTGCCTTATTGAAACTCATGAGTTATTTTGCCATAGTTTCCTAAACATTTGGTCAACCAGACACATTTAAATAGTTTTTTTTTGCCATATTATAAATTGTCTGGTAGGTTATGAGAGGTTATATAAAGATTGTCTATTTCTGGGCTGATATTCGTATTACGCCTATTAGTTTTTTTTAAATGTAACTTACGTCATTTATTACTTTGTTGCGTATTTGGGGGCACCAGAGTAATAAAAATTATTTTTTTGTGTGTAAAAATTATATTTCTGGCCTAATATTCGTATTTCGCCTAATAACATTTTTTTCAAAAATATACTTTAACCAATAGGTCTAATGCTTTCGTTACTTATTAAGGGAAGTCAAGCTATTTCCAGATAAGTTTCCAGGAATATTCAGGAAAGAACAAATAGTGAGTTGCTGGAATTAGGTGACTTCGTTAACACCTACGTTAATCCTTGCCTGCTTTGCTGAACTTTTAAATTGCTTTAAATAAAAGACCTGCTTTGCTGAACTTTGAATAAAGGATCTACTTTGCTAAACTTTGAATTTATTTTGAATAATAGGTCTGCACCACTGAACATTAAAATTTAATTTTCAATAAAATTGGGTTTTGCCTTAAGCAATTAAATTTTGATTTGAATAAAATTGAGCTTTGCCTTCAGCAATTAAATTTTAATTTTGAATAAAATTTGATTTGAATTTTATTTTTTTCTTTCTACAACATTGAAGATGACACCGACTAAGGGTACTGAGGGACTTAAAGCTATAAATGATAGAAAAGAAAGGATGTTTCTTCGAATTCAAACTAGGTATGATATGATTAAGGATCACCCTGATAGAAAGAAAATTTTTATGATTAGAGCTTCAGAAATTAAAGCGCAACTAGAGGAATTTGAAGCGATGTTGATCAAAATTTCCATGATAAATGAATCATTAGATGAAGAACATAGGAATAGAAGTAAACGTGCCATCTCTAGTGGCGGAAGATCTTTATTATGAAATAAAAGTTGTGCACGAGAAATTAATTAAAGATGAGCACATAGTTCCCGCTTCTCAGTCCATGTCTGAACCAGTAGCTTACCCTAAATTGCCAGATATGCAAATTCCTCCATTTCCTGGTTTGTACGAACAATTTCCCTCTTTTAAATCATTATTCGATGCCTTCCATTTATTCAATCGAGTTTAATGCAGAAAATTATACCTTGGCCTATGATAAATTAAAGCGCTACATCAATAAAAGGATCATTGCGGCTTACCATATTAACAAGATTATACGATTTAAATCCTTTTCGGTTGATAATTCTACCAACTTCAGAAGCTTTCTGGATACATTTGAGTATAATTACGACTTACGAAAAAATAAAACTCAAGTATATGAAAGATGATATAGAGGATATAAAGACAATCAAACTCTGATAAGAGAAGCAAAGAAAATAGGCTCAAAAGTAAATGAAGATAAAATAAAATATACACTATAATAGTAAACTGAAAATTCCACCATAATAATATAACCTGCATACAAGAGAAAGTGTTCCAAATTAAAATAACTCGGCCCCAAAATAATCTTCATGAATGGCCAACAGCCAGAAATAAACTAGCATATAAAAAAGTGCAAAAAGATGCTTTTTTTCTTTTTTAAAGGTATCTAATACACTGATAAAGCCAATTCTGATATATGACTGAGAGTCCTAGATAATAATCAGCACCATAGAAGTATTGAAAGATTAAAGGAAAATCTTCCACACAAAAACAGGAATAATCTTGGATCAGAGTACTAACGCATGGTGGACCATACCAATAAGGAACTGGGCACAGAAAATGGTCAATCAATATCTCATGAAGGCAAGGAAATTAAGATGGGTGAGACACAGCTCAAAAAAATTGACAAAGAAGCCACCAAACAACAATAAATGTCTAAATAGTAGACAAAACCACCACCTGGAAGGACGAAAATCAAATCAACGAAGACGCCGTTTCTAGATAACTGGAAAGCAATTACCCAATGGAGAAGGCTAGTTAAGATGGCAAAAGATCTAAAATGTCAGTAAAGCCAAAAGGGGGAAATATATATATATATATAAAACTATAAGTTATGCTGATTTTCTTTTTAATATTTAATATAAATGCAGTCCTATGCAGCATGAAGCATCAATATAAATTGTTATACATAATTTTAATTTTTAAGAGTACCAAAAATTAACATACTGGAGAAGAAATCCATTGTTTTAAACAGCTGAGAACTGATTTCAAACCATTAATTAAATATGCTGGGGCAGCAAGTGACCTTGAATTAAAATCTTCAAGCTCTTTTGAGAGGCCTCGAGCAGCTCGCCAGTGTATTTCTTCAAAGTGAGGGTATAATAATCTTTCAGGAGTTTTTGTTCTGGTCTCCAATGCATAAATCCTAAAAATAATAAATATATAAACTATTAAAAAAGTAAAACAAAATTAATATATATATATATATATATATATATATATATATATATATATATATATATATATACACACACACATTATAAATAAGGTCTGTGGTAGTTGCGATCAAACAAAAAAGATTACGACAGGCAGTAAAAACCCTGAACAAAGTCGCAACACAGAGCCAACACCATCAGAAATTCTGGTGCAGCGGGTTGATAAACATGTAAACAATTAAATAAAAAAATATTAAAACCGCTGGAGAAATACGGAGACCTGACCTTTGAATCAAATTCAAGGTTAACAAAAATTGAAAACCATTTAGAGGGACAAGCAAAACATTTGGAGGAAATGATATCTGAAAATAAAGCTGTCAAGTCTAAGGTGGGTGAATAAAGGGTCAGGCTAAATAAAGCTGAGCAAGGCCTTCTTAATAGATCGCTAGAGATTCGGGGCATTTCGATTCGAGGGGGTGAGACACACGCAGCCCTGGTTACAAGTATAGGGGCTGGCCGGGGAATCAAACTCAATATTGATGACTTTAACACTGTACAGCGGCTAAGAGTCCAGAAGGACGATCTGCGACCACCGTCCATCATCGCATGATTTGTCAGGCAGTCAGTTTTGTATTTAAGTTTTTCGGATTTATTCGATATAAGGGTGTATTCTTATGTTCTCGGATCCAAAAATTTTGAAAATGACCTCCATTATAAGATTAAGCCACCATGTTTCGACTTATTTAAGTTTTTCGGATTTTTTCCATATAAGGGTGTATTCTTATGTTTCCAGAGTCGTGGATTTTGAAAATGACCTCCATTTTATGATATCCAAATCCTATAATTTTGTAAGATGAGCACACAACATTAAAAAAGATAATTAAAATTAAATTAAAAATTAGACAATAGATATTTTATTTATTTCGAACACTTAAATAAACCGAAACACAGTAGCCTATGATTTTTCTTAAATCTTCCTTTAGGATATTAATATTGTTCTGAAGGTCACGGTCATTCTGGGCCAATATGTCTAGGTCATCCGCAAACGCCAGCAGAGAGTATAGAGTAGGCTGCATATCTCTGTGACCCAACTGAAAACTTCACATCTTCTGTTTTGCTTTTCCCAGCACCAGATCGAGAACCAGTACGAAAAGAAGTGGCCTCAGGCTACAACCCTGTAGTATGCCCAGTGTTGTTTTGAACTCTCGAGAGGTATGGTTTCTTGTTCTAACAAGATTCCTCGTATTTCCGTATAAACTGCTTACGGCCCTTATAAGTCCATTATTTACACCTTTTTCCTCTAGAGCCTCAATTATATCCTTTTTTCCTAATCCGGTCAAAGGCTTTGCAGAGATCTACAAAGCACACTGAGAGTTCCTTTCCCCTCTCGCCAATCTTCTCTGTGATTTGTGGTATAGTGAAAACTAGATCCTGTGTGCTTCTTTGAATCCTGAATCCATACTGCTCCTCTCCAATCTTGGATTCTACGGTGCTTCTGACCCTTGCCTCTAGGATTTTTGAGTATATTTTACTGGGAACGCTAAGGAGCGAAATACCTCGATGATTGCTGCAGTCCCTGTTTTCTCCCTTCTTATATATTGGCACTATTACTGCAACTTCCCAGTCTTTTGTGAAAAACCTCATAGGATTTAAAATATTCTCAAAAAACTAAAAAAATATCAGTTTTCTGTTCTTCTCCTCCCTCCCCCTATCAAAACCCGATGCAGGATTCTTTGGGACTTTTTACCAGTTATTATAGATAGGTAATGAACAAACTTTCATATTTATTTTTTGAATGTTGAGGTCAATCCCTAATTTTACTGGACTATTTGTGCACATTGTTTCTGCCTGAGATTGTTTTTGACAGCTGTTTTTGGTTTCAAATGTATTGTGATCTACATTATTTAGGAAAACAGTGCAGGCTAGATGATCAGTTAATTCTGAAAATGTAGATACCTTCATGTTTTGGACTAAAGGGGGACATTTTTTATTAACCCATATCATATCTATTGTGCTTTGAATTCTTGTAGAAATATGTGTGAACTTTCCTGGTCTATCAGACAAATATCGGTCATTACATAAATAAAAGCCAAGGGATTCCATTGCTTCTACAATAAGTTTACCGCATCAATTTATGTTTGCGTGTTTGATAATTCTCGAGGCACAAATATTTGTATCCTTAAGTACATAATCATCGATGTTGTTAAGGCTGCTCATTGAAACCTCCACATAAGACTATATAATTCTCTGTGAAATTAATCAAAATATTAGACATTACAAAATTAAATAGGTCCAGGCATTCATCCATGTCGCAATCTGGAGGTAAGTAGATGTTGCCCAGGATAAACTTTTTATTGTTTATGGAGTTTACAATATTAAAATACTGATTTTACTTTAACATAATGGCATTTTCAGTAATATTATTATTTACGAATGTATTGATACCACCACTAGGTATCAAGGTACTAGCTCTTCCGGTTCGTTTTGTTTTGATGATAATACAAGAAAATGAGTTATAGTCCTTTAATCAGGGTGGGATATAAAAGTTAGAATCCTTAAGCAAGATTTCTACAATGAATAACGCTACAGTATTTTTTCTGTTACTTATTTTCTCAGGGTTTATATTAAGTATATTTGAGTAACCGTTTATATTACAAAATATTATTTCAATATCATTTTGAGTATGGGCAAGATGCTTGCATTTTGAGCGTGGTTTAAATTGGTGATTGGATGATTTAGCGAAATCGAAACTCATTAAGTGTTTCTGTGGCTTCCTTTTCATTTTTAAATACATTTATTAACTTATTTCTCAGCCTCACAGAAGAGGTCCTGTCACATGATTCGTGAGGACTCACAAAAAGTAGGTAGCGGCAGAATTCTCATGTAGACGCGTAAGCGCACTGCCGATCGTAGGTATATGGATACACCGTCGAAGAGCAACTCCATTATGAATCATAATCGTAACTGCTCATTGTCCATAGCATCTGGTCGTGATGGTTATTCTAAAGGCAAGATCAGCCAGAACTCACACCTTGAACACAAGCATGACGCTTTCATGCCAGAATATTAACGCCCGAGTCCTATTAACTCCAACTGAATATTAACTCCAACACGAACGCCCATACCGATCACATAAATTGCCCTCGTACAGGTCATTTCAACCGGAGGGAGAGTACGCGAATGTTTGGTAGGCGTAACGACACTTCCATATCTTGCCGCTAGCCATTTTCGTCATTTTTCGGTCCATGAGAGATATCCACACGTGTTGAGGAGGCTTGACCCCATAGCTAGAGATGACCTAAAGGTGAAGGCATCACATTCGGTACAAACAATTATTGCCCTAATCTAGCGGGTTTCCGATCCCATATTTCGCGCATTTTTAATTACGTGGGGTCTACCATTCACCGAAACTCTCCAGAGAATTGGTTCATATCAAATATCTATTCATACCGTGTGAATTGGCCTTTGTTCAATTTAATTAACATTGCCAGAATGTATTGATGTGTATAGCATATATATACACTGACAGGCAAAAAATTCCAGCCACTTGATTTTTTCATGTTTTCATCTAAAAATATTTCTGCTTTGGATTGGTCTATTGTTTTTAATGAATAAATAGGTAATCTTTTTGTTTGTTTTCAATTAGGAATGTTAATATAGAGGACAATAACCCTTAATCCTTAATTCAATGAAATTATTCTAGATTCCAATGTTTACTTTCTATGGAATCAAAATGTTTATTCAGTATCATTAGTTCAGAGCCGTTTCTTGCAGCACATTTCTCAGTCTCCGGCTTTTAATTTTTTTAACATTAAGTTTAAAATGCCTATTAGTGCTGAGGATGTTGCGCGTGGTGTGGCACTTATTGATGATGGACATTCTATTAGATATGCAGCTAATGCCATCGGAGTTCCATAAGAAACTTTACGAGACGCCGTCAGGCATTTTCGGGAAACTGGTTCTTACAATAGAAGGCCCTGTTCTGGATGCCTAGGGTAACAGAACCATGGAATGACCGGTTTTTGACTTTGAGAATTTTACGAAACCGGCACCTTACCGTTGTTCAAGCGATTCATCAGCTCGAAGAAGTTCGAGGTGTGCAAATTTCTGAATGTACCGCTAGGAGAAGATTAAATGAGTATGGATTAATGGCTTTATGTCCAGTAAGAGGACCAGAGTTGACCAGAACTCACAGAGTAACACGGCTGGCTTTTGCTCGAGAACACAGCCATTGGACTATGGACTAATGGAGTGCTGTCCTTTTTACAGATGAGTCAAGATTCGCTCTTCGATCTCCAGATGGGCATGAAAGGGTGTGGAGAAGAAGAAACGAAAGATATGCAGCCTGTAATTTTTCCTAGAGCCAACCTTTCCAACGTGGTTCCTTAATGGTGTGGGCTGGTATTTCAATGGAGCGCCGCACAGAATTGGTTGTTGTTCATGGAGGGTCTTTGACGGCCATTCGCTATGTAAATGAGATTTTGGAACCTTATGCGTTGCCTATCCTCAACGAAATCAGCGATCGTTCTATTCTAATGCACGCCCACATGTCGCCCGCATTTTGCAGACGTTCCTTCAACAGCAAAGGGACATTTCCAGACTAGTGGAAAGTATGCCGAGGCGTCTTCAGGAAGTAATGAAGGCAAGAGGAGGAAACACAAGCTACTAAACGATGATGTAATTAATTTCTTTTAGAATAATAATGGTTTGTTTTTCAATTTTTTTTTCTCTAACCTTTCTTACCCAATCACATTTTGATAATTAAAGGTAAAAAATATTATAAAATTCCATAAATACTAAGTATTATCTACAAATACCATGTATTATATACAAATACAACTCTATAGAAATACTTTTAGATGAAAACATGGAAAAATCAAGTGGGTGGAATTTTTTGCCTGTCGATGTATAAAAAGTAAGATTTTAACTTTTTCAATATATTAAAAAAATTTATGTAATTTGTTTATTTGAGACTTTTGTTGAGAATAAGGATCAGTCAAGGTATGAGCATCTATTTAACCGGTATGAAACCGTGGAAAGACTTGTAAATTTTTTTCATAAAAAAAATTTATATTACTAGAGAGAGAGAATCACTTTATTATCATAAAATAAAATAAAATGGTGCTGCCAATTACATTGGGTTGCTAACAACACAGCATACTTATTAATCACTCCATACGAGAGGAAAATGGGTAGTTCTCCTAAAAACTAATGCATCCTAATGCAGTTGTATATATATGTGAGAAACATGATCGCTTTGGGTGGTAGTTGATGAAGGATCGGTGAGGTTAGAAGGTCGTATCCAAGAGATTTTCAGGAAGATAATTTTTGTAAATGATATTTGACCTCAAGGATGAACTGCTTTTGGTGGTAGGGAAAGTGGAATTGGTGAGGAGAGGAATTTTTCTACTTTTGCAGTATGGATGGGATGGGATTCAGGATGAGGAGTAAATGTGCAGAAGAGGTGTTTGGCATATTCCTCAGCTTTGTCTTTGTGGATTTTAGAATTTTTTTGGTGATATTCCAGAGGGAATTGTCGTGAGCGGAGAGGGAGAGGAGTGTGGTTTCTAACACCATTCGCATTCCAAAGGAGAATGGATAAGGGTTTGAAGGAATTCATTTAAGGTTTTTTTGAAGGAGGGATGAGGTGGGATACTAAATTTGTAAGGAGAGATATCAACTGGGTAACAAGGGATTTGAATTCAGTGAGGAAAGGTGCCAACAAACTGGCAAGGTCCGTGGCTTGTGATGGAGGAGGAATAAGAGGAATGTGATATTCATGAGGGTTTTGTACTTTAGGAGGGATAGGATGATGTTGAAGTTGGGATTGGGGTTCCTGTTGCGGCAGGGATTCACATTTGTCAGTCGGGGGATTACCCCCTTGTAACTGGGAAAAAGAAACTTTAGAGTCTACTATTTTAGCAGGTTCTCTTCTGGGCTTAGAGATTTTTTCTAGGTTCTCGGGTTTACAAAATTTATTTTTGATGTTTTTATAGACTTAGCAGCCCTTGTAGTTGGCAGGATGTCCTTCCAGGCATAAAGCACATACAGCGGGAGTAGTTTTCAGTTTATTATATTCACTAGTCTTGTGTGACTCCGCATTTCGTGCATCTTGGAATGTGGTGGCAGTAAGTTTTGGTGTGGCCATATGCCTGGCAATTATGGCACTGGACGACTTCTCTTTTAGTGTATGGTTTTTCAAGCTTAACACTAGTATAATATAATCTTCCAATTTCATATATTTTATTAACTCCTGCTGAGAGTTCTAAATCTACTTAAAATATGGGTAATGGTATTTTTCTATAAGCACCGGAAACATCTCTATCGTCCTTCATTACATTGGTGACCTGCCGGACTTTGAAACATAGGGCTGTCAGTTCTTCTTGGATTTCTTCGGCTGGAGTAGAGGGGTGTAAATTCCATATTACTACCCTCAGAGAACGCTCTTGCCTCAATTGGTGGGTGTGCAAATCTGCCTTTGTGTCGGATAGATATTTAATAATTTGGCGGTATGCATCAGCTGTGCCTGGAGATATTTTAATATCGTTAGTCCGGCTTAAACAGGAGTAGCTACCAAGAGTTGTAATTTTGTTTAAATGTCTGCATAGTAGCGGGAAATTTTTTAAATTTTTAACGAAAATCGGAGGGGGTCGAGGGTCTCTGGGAATGGGTGCAGATTCCATCGCCTCTTTTTCATTTTGCAATACTTCGTAAGGATTCGGGGTGAAAAAGGGAGACTCATCTGTCGTGTCCTGAGATGTACCCGGCTGAGGTTGAGTGTCTTCTACTACTCTAGGTGGAGTTGCAGGTGGCGTCGTTCTTTTCGATTGGTGACTTATTTTTTATGAACGTGGTGTTGATCCATCAGAGCGGGACCTCGTTATTGCGCCCTTAGAAGATATGACTTGATGATAGTATCACATAATGCATCAAGAGAAAATAAATGAAGAGAAAATTTTTTTTTTTTTAAATGAAATAAATAAAAATTTTAAGACACGCTCTGTGACCTTGATTTTGTATCAGTGTCGCAAAAGGACCTCTCCCGTTAAAGATACAAGCCCAACTGACTAGTCTGGGCCAGGTACTTATGCCTGTGAGATAAGAGAACTGGCCTTTATACACCGGCTTCACTTCACACAACTGTACACAATAAATAACAACTGTATTCACTGTGGCATTAGTGCATATTATGGTCCATGTGTTTAGCTCAGTAGTCACAATTTTATTAAAAAATGACATTAATTTCCCAAGAAAAAGTTAATATATCTAAGAGAAGAGATAACAGTGGTATATTATAATCTAGCGCATGCGCAGAAACTCTCCCAGAATATTAAGAAACAAATATTCAACATTCATTCAAGAATTGATGAGTATAGCAAACCTTTAAATTCCTACTAACCTCAATATACAGGGAGATCTTCACATCTAATTAATTGGTTTCTGTATTGCTTCAGAAATAGGATATGCATCTATGCACTTTCTTTGAGTTGAACATAACAATGGTGACATCCATGTTTCTTTGCCTAAGGCCAAGACAAAACTAGCTCCGATGAAAACCATTACAATTTCCCAATTTGAGTTATGTGGAGCTTATCTTTTAGCGAAACTGCTTGACACATGCTGGTTTACAGCATGTAAATGTTGAAGAGTCTAACTTGTTTACCGATTCAACTATTATCCTGGGATGGCTGAACACTTTGCCTCATAAACTTAACATTATCGTTGCAAATAGAGTTTCACAAATTTTAGAGGAAACTATGAAGACTTGATGGTTTCACGTTTAATAGTGCGCCACAAGAAATAAGTGAATTCTCAAACTGGCTTAAGAAAGGTGATATTCAAAAATCCATTGCAACCTACCTCTTGCATAAGGAAATCAAATAACACTTTAATACATCTTCAGCTCCCCACTTTTGAGGCATTTGGGAAGCAGAAAAAGAGCAGAGACAATCATTCTGTAGCTGGACGAGCTCTGAGCAACAACTCATAAGGGAAGAGCTCCTAAGCACCTACTTTATGTGTTCCTGCAGGACAGTTTATCTCCAAAGGACAGTTGTCCTCAGTCACAATTTTTTCCTTTATCACCGGCTCTTATTTCACACGTATAGTGCATAGAACAGTGTGGGTAAGAACAATTTTAATTAGATAAACTGAAAATTAATTTTTAAAAAAATATATATTTTAAGTTATTTTATTTCATTTATTTTTTTTTCTTGAAGAATAAAACATTCTATTCTACTTTTAAAATGATTATTTACTTTTTGTAGTCTACTTAAATATTACGAGTTTGGAATCCCAAACAAAGATTTTAATCAAAATTATGAAGTATGAAAAAAAATTGAAATAATACCTCAATTGCCCCTCCATGTTGAGGCTATGGAGAAAATTTCCACCAAAAACAAGAGAATCCTCCACAGTCAAGACAGCATGAATCCATCCCGTAGGGAGAAATAATGTATTTCCTGGTACCAGGGTTAACTTAAAACATTCATCTACCTGCAGGCATGAAAAGGTATATTTTTAAATCTATAATTTATAAACAAATATATTGGGTAGAAATTTTTTATTTTCTGGAAAAAATTAAACTAGTTATTTCAAGGACATAAATTTATTTTAATCAGTATATAATATCATAATGGCTCTCCAAACATATTTTGTTCCACAAAATGGCCTGTTCCAATAATTCAATAAACATCACCACAATGCAATATTTGAATCTGAGGATTTCCCAGCAATAAAATTCTGTTTGTAAGTGTTGTTTATCTTAAAAAAAAAAACTTTTTTAATGGAGTTCTGCAGGAAAGGTGATAATCAATTGGTTCCAGGTCTGGTTAGAAGAAAGGGTCAAAATATCTCACCAAAACGTAGCAGGTTTATTTGATGAGAGAATAAGAAAGTATGGAATAAAAAATTCAAGCTTGAGAAAAAGATTTTCTACAATAGCATTAATACTTATGTTTTTTAAAATACACTAATCATGAAGAATTTTTTTATCAAATGATGGCTTTAGCATCACTAGTCAAATCTGTAGCATAACCTGAGCAAACGTAGCATCAAAATTATAAGGCAAATTAATTTGATTCAGGCATCTTTATCAAATATCTATTGAATATTTTATGGGATAACATACTTTCTTTTCTGTTGTTAAATAATAGAGCAAAATTTAAAATTAAAATAATGTAAGTTATGTTCTTTCCACAATTGCACTTCTTGATGTTAACAAAACATTGGTTTAGTTCAAAAAATGATTTACAGAATTGTCCCTTGAAAAATAAAGAAACAGCTAAACAATCATTTAATGGATAGATTAAACTTAAAGAGAACAATCTTCTAATATAAGAAAAATATATCAATAATGTTAACTATCAAAATTTAGTAAAATGCATATTGGAAAAGAAAAGTTCATATTAGGTACAAAATATATGAATAAAACGATCTTAAACCTTATACATAAAGACCACACAACAACATTTATTTTATCTATCTGATCAGTGGACAAGACGGGTTGAGGTTCTCTCTCTATGCTAATGGCACTGAGGAAGTAGCAAAAGAAGAACTAAATAATTTATTAAAAAGGTTTCAAGAAGATATAGACAATATCATAATAACATGGGCAGCAAGCAATGATTGACGAAAAAACCATTTTCGCACAAACAAGTGCAAAATAAGGCCTTCCGAATTATTACTGGTGGCCCTAAATCTCCTATTGCAGCTATACAGCTTGTATAGAATCCATCAAGGTACAAAATGAGATCGCTGCACAAACAATGAGTGAGAAACTGATGCATTAGGAAACTGACTAATGGAAGGAATATAAACCTGCCACGAGACTTAAAACCCAAGTCACATTCATGGAGAAATTAGACACAATTAGCATTGAATTAACATTGTTCTGAAATAACGTAAAAAATTTACCAATATGCACTATGTTTTCATGGGAATCTTTTTATGAAAATACTGTTGAATTTGAGATTGCACGTCTCCCTCCCCCCTCCCCCATCAACTTTTATTAACCTTTCGGATTTAATCGATATCAGGGTCGACTGTTGTTTTCGGGGTAGCTTATTATGAAAATACGGTCGAATTTAAGATAGCGCGCCTCCCTCACTCCAACCCCCCATCGACTTTTAGTAACCTTTCGAATTTAATCAATATCAGGGTCGACTATTATGTTTTCGGGGTAGCTTATTATGAAATTATGGTCAAATATGAGATTGCGCTCCCCTCCCATCAACTTTTAGTAACCTTTCGGATTTAATCGATATCAGGGTCGACTATTATGTTTTTGGGGTAGCTTATTATGAAAATATGGTCATCATAATCAATCAGGGTCGACTTCTAGGTTTTCCCGGTAGATAATTATGAAAATGAGGTCGAATTTGAGATTGCGCCCCCCCCCACTCTCCAGCATCGACTATTATGTTTTCCGGGTAGCTTATTATGAAAATACAGTCGATTTTAAGATTGCGCCCCCCCCCCCTATCGACTTTTAGTAACCTTTCGGATTTAATCAATCAGGGTAGACTATTATGTTTTCGGGGTAGCTTATTATGAAAATGCAGTCGAATTTGAGATTGCGTCCCCCCCCCCCTAACCTCCAGCATTGACTTTTTCTAACTTTTCATATTTAATCGATATCAGGGTGGCCTTTTATGTTTTCAGGGTATCTTTTTCAATTTCAACAGTATTTTCAATCTTAAAACTGACATTATTTTTATAAAAAGTGTCCCCGGAAACATAACGGTCGCCAGATATCGATTAAATCCGAAAAGTTATAAAAACTCGAGGGAGGGGGGCGTAATCACAAAATCGACAGTATTTTTATATTAAGCTACCCCTGAAACATAATAGTAGACCCGGATATCGAATCAATCTGAAAAGTTACAAAAAGTCTAGGGAAGCGGGCGCAATCGCAAAATTGACAGTATTTTTATATTAAGCAACCCCGGAAACATAATAGTCGACCCGGATATCGAATCAATCTGAAAAGTTACAAAAAGTCTAGGGAAGCGGGCGCAATCGCAAAATTGACAGTATTTTTATATTAAGCTGCCCCGGAAACATAATAGTCGACCCTGATATTTATTATATCTCAAAAGTTACAAAAAGGCGATGCTGGAGGGGGAGCCGCAATCTCAAAGTCGACAGTATTTTCATAAAAAGCTATCCCGAAAACATGATAGTCGACCCTGATTTCGATTTGATCTGAAAAATTAAATAAGTTGATGTGGGAGGGAGGGGAGAGGCGCAATCTCAAATTTGACATTATTTTTATAATAAGCACCCCCGAAAACATAATAGTCGACACTGATATCGATTATATCTGAAAAGTTAGAAAAATTTGATGCGGGGTGGGGCAATATCAAATTCGACAGTATTTTCATAAAAAGCGCTCCCCCCAAACATAATAGTCGACCTTGGTATCAATTAAATCCGAAAAGTTACAAAAAGTCGAGGGAAGGGGGCGTAATCACAAAATTGACAGTATTTTTATATTAAGCTACCCCGGAAACATAATAGTCGACCTGGATATCGATTAAATCCAAAAAGTTACAAAAAGTCTAGGGAAGCGGGAGCAATCGCAAAATCGACAGTATTTTTATATTAAGCTACCCCGGAAACATAATAGTCGACCCTGATATTGATTATATCTCAAAAGTTAGAAATATTTTATTATTTACACAGTATATATTTTATTATACACAGTATATATTTACACAGTATATTAAGTATTTTATTATGAACACAGTTTTAGAAATCAGCAATTACTAATAATAATTTTTGTTTTTAGGAGTTGGTTTATTGACGAATGTACAAATGATTTAGAACGGCAAAGAGATGTATATTCATTTGGAGAAACAGTTAAATGCAAAGAATTATGCGGCATAGAAACAATCATTATTGACAAAAACGAGAGTAAATATGAAAATTTTGCCAATATTTGCTTGTTCCTTCCTCGTCCGTTACCCGATGATTTGGGTCCATTGGATAATTATGTTTCAAAAGTGCGAACAATGTTATTGGAAAGAAAAGCCATTCCAGAAGGCAATTGGATCGGATTTGATGCTGGACCATTTCCACTCCCTTTCTACCCTTGGTCCTATTCATCTGAACTCCCGGATCTTGAGAGAAGAACCTTTGACTTAAGAACAAGAATACAAGAAGAAAATGAACGAATCGTAATTTTGTTTTAATAAATTATTAATGTTTTAAATAAAACTTAAAATTTTAACTAATTTTTATGATAATTTACAAAGCATAGCTTTTATTAATTGTTTATACATTTTTCAGGAAAGGCCCAACCGCCATTTTGAGAGAAGACTAAGCAATTATTTTAGTGGAACCGGTATAGAACCAGCATTAACACTTGCCATTGCCTCTTACCTATCGAATTTCTGCTTACCTAACTTGGACGTTTTTCATCTGTATCCTTCAAAATAATACTTTACCTTTGATTTGATTTTTCTAATTACCTCAAATTCGACCGTATTTTCATAATAAGCTATCCCGAAAACAAAATAGTCGGCCCTGATATCGATTAAATCCGAAGTTGCAAAAAGTCGATGCTGGAGTGTGGGGGGTGACGAAATCTCAAATTTGACCGTATTTTCATAATAAGCTACCCCAAAATCTGAAATTTGACATTGTTTTTATAATAAGCGCCCTCGAAAACATAACAGTCGACCCGGATATTGATTATATCTAAAATGTCGATCAGAATGATTATTTCACATTATTCCTGAAATATTCATTTCAGAAATAATTATATCATTATTCCTGAAGTATTTTAAAATAATCATTTCAGAAATAATTATACCATTATTCCTGAAATATTTTAAAATAATCATTTCGGAAATAATGTTCAGATTATTTCATGAAATAAATCATTTCGGAAATAACTATTGAGGTTTATTTAACGAATTATTCCAGGAATATTTTTCAAATAAATTCTGCCCAGGTCTAGTATAAATGAGAAACAATAATATAACAATATGTAACCTCCCAACTATATACTTCTGTAGAAACTATAATCTAATTAAGGACAAAACATATAAAATGTTGGACAAACATAATGAACATCATTAATCGAGTAAGAAAAAGGAATTTACTAAGAACTATTATCTGTTTGACCTTGCCTTAATACCATGATAAAAATCAACTTCTTAAAATTTTTATTAATATGGTTGAATTTTAAATGTTAACCCAATTTCTAAATGAATAAATGAAAAGGTATTCTCTATTGCTCTGTATAATCGCATTATGCCATACGTGGAGAGACAGCTTGGAGACTACCAGGGTGGCTTTAGGACAAATCGATCAATGATCGATCAAATTTTTGCCCTTAGACAGAGCATGAAAAAAATGAAAGAGTATAATAACTCCACGTGAATGCTCTTTATTGATTTTAAGGCGGCGTACAACACGGTGATTAGAGAAGAGCTTTGTTATGCAATGTATGAATTGGGCATACCAGCAAAGCTGATTCGTTTAACAAT